ATATATATATATATATATATAATTATTAAACAGAATGCTATTATCATCATTGTTATTAAATTATAAAAGGCACCAAATACCTATGTAAGGAAGACTAACGGAAACTGTACCATAAAACCTATAGAGTAGAAGCCCCATGGGTTTAACCTCGAGAAGCAGCCCATTTCGAAAAGAAGACCACATTTTGAGTTGAGAGTAGTCTGAGAAAGAGGCCCATCTCAAAAAGACCATGGGCTTTCTTCAATCAAGGTAATAATATGGGCTTCTTTCGAGATAGTAGTTACATTCAGAATGAATGCCAGTGAAGGTTGTTTTTACCCAAATACACTCCATTGCCTTGCATTGTTTCTAAACTATGCACTGCACATTAAGGCCATAACGGTGTTTTGCATTTTAATAGACGGATATTTAAAGTGAACTCATTAGGTAACATCTATGTTCGTTCAGTTCAAAATGCTTGTCGGAAATTCAAACAATCCAAGCTCACCAACGCTAGCTGTGAAGACGCAGTACATAACACGATGTTGAGTAAAAGCCAAAAACGTAATCTATATAAACTTGATTACTTGAATATTATATCACCGTAAATGTAATAAATATATACTAATAGATTTCTAGTGTAAACGTCCAAAGGTTAAGCATTCTTAATTTTATCATGGAGGTATCCATACATACCTCCACTATTTTATTATTATACCGATTGTAGTCACTGTATGCTTTCTATTATTATACCGATTGTAGTCACTGTATGCTTTCTATTATTATACCGATTGTAGTCACTGTATGCTTTCTAATCGTGCTTTTGTCAATAAATCTCTACAAAACAAAAGTTTTTGAAAATCAGTCAAGCAAAGATATGGGAAGGCCATGATAGCGTTTCTTTAATCTATTCTTTCATAGGGTACAAAGAAATAATTTGAATACTTTTAGTTTAATTTGGTGCATAAGCAACCAAACACTAAAGCGCAGGATTGGTCCTAGCATTAAATAGGTACCAAGCGGTACAATCTTTTTTAGTTGTTGAATGTCAGTTGAAATACAATCGACCATTGTGCTAAGCCCACTCTTAGATACTGTTGCTACGTGTAGACGATAAACACGTGCATGTGTGGGGGGCATGTGTTTTTTTGAACAGCTGCGTAGTGCTGACTCTGTTCTGATTGGTCAATTAAGTTTGCATGACAATCCGAAAAGGTGCATTTTTCCATCTAGCACAATTATATTTTATACACTAAGATTTTATACAATAATGTATAACAGTTATATAACCTTGTCAATGATGTCATCCTGACTGTCATGCGATCAAAATGTATCAATCAAATACTAATGGTTCTAAATACACTGCGAGGGTGCTGTTGTAAATTAACAAAATATGATCTTGGAAAAAGTTGTTTAGTAGTAGTTTGCTTCAGTGAATATCAATACAACTGTTCTGCTATCAGCGATAATATCACGATTACATCCATGGTTTAACCAACCATGAGTACACAACACTGAGGGGCATTAGCAAAATAGCAAAATCTAGTTGGGCTTCTAATCCAGAAATATATTAGGTATCCAGTTTAACACAAAAAAGCAGAGACTACACTCTATGCAAAAGGATACCCAAGTAAGTTTAGATAGAGGTAACAGTTCAGGATTAAACAAAAATAATGGGAATGGAGGAGCATAAAAAACATAGCTTCTGATACTACATGCTATCAATGTGCAATTTACATGATAAAAAAATTGAGATCGACACATACATAATTAATTTTTTTTTAAATAACATCTATGATGTCCTGTGACTTTTTACCCAATTCCACAAACTTTATCAGAAAATTAAATAAACATTCAATACAATTTTTAATTCTAGAATGATTCTAGCTCTGCCTTAATGTGTGAAAAAACCATAAAATAATCATTCAAAAAACACATACAGCATATAGAATGTTAATTTATCAATTTCCAATGAGGTACAAACAAATTAGTGTTTACTGATTGCCAGACTTAGCTAAACTTACCAAATATCCCAATCTGTTTGCACTTAATTTTCTTTTGACCAGATACATGATTCAGTTCCCACAGTCCAACAATCTGAGCAGGTTTTTAAACAATAACTGCTACATGATATTCACATATTTGTAAAATAGATATAGAATATATAAATTATTATGAAAGACTTAGGATAAATAACCAAGGTTTGATTGAATAAAGTGATAATTACTGGCTATCACAAAATTATTGAGATAGCAGTATGGTTACTGGGACCTTATTTTGTCTTTCAATTACTGTAAAACTTCTGCTTGAAACACAGTGTCACTATTTGTTTGACTGACTTTAAGGGTTACAATTAAAGTATTACTAATATAACAAAGATACTATAAATACAAGATAGAGCACTCGCATTGTAAAAATGAGGCGGAAATCGTGCCCAACCATGCAACCATTTAACCATGCAAGTTTTCTATACTTTGTGCCCAACGTACAGGGCGCCCTTCTGTTGCTAAGTATATCCAGACGCACACGGCGCCCTTCTTTTTCCACTAATGGAGGAAAACTTTATCACTAGAGTGCGTCCAGCCATACGATTTTGCGCTATTATTGTTGTTTTCTATACTGATCCATAGGCTTAATTGTGTGTTTTATTTGGATAATAGCAACGATTTCTACCTCCGCCAAGGAATTATGTACTGACCGTTGTCACTGTCTGGGTACAACTGTACAAATGTGTACAATTTTTTAATTGAGAATTGACAATAAAAATATGCGACGACTTGGTAACGAAAGTTTGGTTGAAGTTTTTTTAGATCCAGTCGTACGGGGCGCCCCATTGTTTGTATTCCCACCATGCATTTCGGTGGATTTCGGTGGAACACATTTTTTGTGTGGAGAACTCTATCTTGTATTTCTAGTATCTTTGCTAATAATGTTCCGGGTCACTATTATTAAGCATTAAGTATTAAAAACAACACCCAAATTTCATGTTTAAAATTAAAATAAAATTTTCCTCTTTTTATCCAATTTCAAATATTCGAAATTGGAAATCATGGCTGGGCCAAAGGGGATCTGCGGCAGCTGCAGATCACCCCAGTACCGACATGTAACAAATAAATTGTGCCTTATTCATGCCTAACTCTCATGCAAATGTTATTCGAGGAGCAGAGTGATCCGACTCCAATTAAAACCGGACACTGTCTGGGTCTTATTATTGAGTCCATACACGAGTTCATACTCTGTTGAGCTATGTTGGTTGGTATGATGGATCTTAATTATACGATTTTCGTGTATAGTGTTGAAAGGAGTGGTACGAACAGTGCTGCGACGTTAAAACCGAGGTCTTCGGTGCAATAGTTTTAGCCAAACACTTAGTTATTGTGCCAGCAAATTCACAAAAATAATCATTGTACAAGTAAACAAAATCTTGACCTTGTTTTACAAACTCAACAAAATCATAAATAGCAGGCCTTTTCCGTTTTAAAAGCGTTATCACCTGTAAACAATGTTGTCATCATCATCATCTTCAAATAGCATCCGCTACATTAAGGTTATTAAAATTCTGCTAAGGGGAAAGTCCCCTAAAACTTTGTTTGCCAATAGTAACCACACTGAGTTCATCTTGCAAAGATTGGCTACTATTCTGGTCATGGGTCAAAATAGAGTACTGAGTTTTAATGAGAAGTGTTACAGTAGTTTACAATTAACTTTGAAATCAAAATATGATAGTTGATGTAAAAAATGTGCCTAAGACAAGAAAGTCCTCTACAGTATTGGAATATTATAACAGACACCTCTGAGCAGCTAAAAATTAACTATTTGCAACCATCTCATAAAAAGAATTCCATTCACTACAAACCATTTTATGCACACTGACAATAGAAATTGCCTCCTACACTTATATTGAGGTCATGTACTTTATACATAGGCTTACATTATTACCCCACCTTAATACTTGTACCCGTCCACAAATACTGTATCTAATACTCCTAACAATTTCCCCCCTCCCCTTCAAAACTTGCTCTCTTTATTTCCCTGCTTTTATTTTCTTGCATAGTGTTCAAACAATTACAATTCCGGAACATGCAATTCTGTTTTATGTAAAAAAAAAACATCACATTTAACTGAGACGGGCACGTGCTGAGCGATTGTAGCGTTCTTTCTCATTTTCAATCTCCCGACAGAGAACATACGCTAAAACGATTCCGGTTATCTGTATCAAAAGACAATCAAATTGATCAATATTTCAAATTAAACATAAAACAAAGTGATTGAAACCGTTCAAACATTAGGTCATGTAAAGTGAAACATTAAACGTAAAGAAGAGTACTGCAGAAGGAAATGGCCATCACCACAATTGTCTTTGTATGTAAACACTATTCAACACTTATTTCCTCTTAATAAAACAATTCAGGAAATGTTTATGCACACACTTCTTTTTATTTACGTAGGCATCACTTCAATGATTGGAATAATAATGTGGAGAGGTACTTCAGATGAACAGAGGAAAGAAACTATTCACCGTATTAAATTTATGTAAACAATATAAACTGAAAATTATATTTGATGAAAATTTGAACAGTTAATGAGATACAGATATTTAAAAACCGGGGAAAAAGGGGAGTAACCCCTGATCTCTATTATAGTACAGCTATAGTAGCTGGATTGCTCATTGGCTGGTTTTAGTAAGGCCACCAAGGCCATGTTGGAGGGCCTAAGTGACGTATCAGTTTATTTTTTTTCAAATCATCTAACCGCTTGACGTGACTCTTCATGCACTTTAAAAAAGTTATTTGCGTTGTTAGTGATTGTCATCACTATAACAACATGACTTCGCTCGCGCTTACGTTAAATTTAAATTTATTATTGGAAAGTATTGATGATGACATAATTAATGTCGAAATATTGAATCCGGACACGATGGCGTGCATTTCGATACTTCCGAGTATGTTTTATACTATCTTAAGTATTGCAAGAATCGTTAATATTTAACAATAATTTCAACAAGTGCCAAAAAAAACTTGTCTAAACTGGTACATCACTTAGGCCCTTCAACATGGCATCGGTGGCCTCACTTTTTTCTTTACAAGGATTGGCCAATGAGCAATCCAGCTATTATAGTAGAGATCAGTGGGCGTAACCACCCTTTTTTCCAGCTTTTTCCCCCATTTTAAAATATTTAAAAATCTGTATCTCATTAACCATTCCTAAGTGTTTTGTCAAATATGCTTTTTGCGTCTTAGAAAAATCAATTTTTTTTCCTCCAGAGCCTGTCTTTAAGAGTGTCCCTGAATATAAGCTGACCAGTAAGGGCTCATGCTCTACAAATATGCTTTTAATAAAATTATACCATGCAATAAATATCATACCTGAAATGCGGCAACCATTATGACAGTAACGCCCACAATGTAACTCTTTGTTTTGATGTTGTCCAGTAGGGCTTCTACACAACCCACCACATAGATCTTGTCGTTAGCAGTAACTGCCTGTAAGGACAATAAACAACCTTCAATTATCGTATCTTTTGACCGCCAAAGACGGAGATCTCCGTTTTTTCCATTTTCTTTTTTTATATGATAGAGGGGGGTATGCCCGGATTTCTAGAAAATCTCTAAAGAGTTTAAATGGGTCAGGACCATATATGCCTCGCTATTTCAATGTGACCTATTGTCAGTGACCTCATAATTGCATGGCAATACTGAAATGCGATTATCTCAGCTTCATTGTGTGAATGTGCGTAAAGCCCCAAAAGTGAGTGATTTTCATTTTGCTGTTACAGGGTTATAAATTGTGATTTGAATAAAGTGTTTGGTACCAGTGTAAAGGTGAGATGTTTGTCGTTCTTTAGGTGTATAATACATGTCAATTTGATCAAGTACGCACTCTTAGCGAGCTTTGGAAAGATGGTCAAATTCGGTAAAAAGCCTGGCGGTGGCTGACACTATTTTCAAACACAGCTGGTGGTGAAAGTGTCATAACATTCTTGATAATAAGATAACAACAATAATGACAAAAACATTCAGAATTTTCAAATTTGAGGTGAATCAAAGAAAATAAAAATAAAATTTTATATTTGGCCAATTAGCGCACCCGCCACCTCAAAGAAATGGAAATTTCAGATAAAAAAATAAGTTGTTCTTTAATATTTTTACACCATCACTGCCTTGAAATCTCCAAAAATAAGAAGTATATTTCTTCCTAATTATGTAAATTTACATCATTTAACCATCCCATTCATGGGCGTCAATCGGTGGGGGACAGCGGGACACGTTCCCCCCCCCACTTTTCAAAGTTTTTATTATTAGTATTATTATTATTATTTATGAATTATTATTATTATAATTGCTGTTCACTTGTGCTCTGTTCCAAGTGCGGTGCGTTTTTTATTAGACCAAAACCGAGTAAAAACACACTTGTTTGTACATTTTGTAACCACCTCAGTAACCATTCCATCGATTTCATAGGTACAGTTGGGGGGGGGGGCGCCTGGGCTCTACCGCTACATTTTTCAAAATTTCTGTCTAAGAGTGCATTTTCAGCCATCTAGAGGTTCCATAATCATAAATTTTCTTATCTCAGCCCCAACCATGGTGGGGCTGAGATCTGGGGTTTATACTCCATCTGTAAAAGTCCCTCCCTGGGCCCCCTCTATTTCGAATTCTGGGATCTGTCACTGTATTTTGAATATGTAGCGTGGAAATTAAAATGTTAATTGCATTCCTGAAAATCAATTAGATATGACTTATAAAAGGCTATATAGACGCCAGAGATTCCAGGGCTTCGCCTCTGGAGACTCCCAGCCAATGCTTGGGCTTACGGCCCAAGACTTTCTTATTTTGCAATTCAACCCCCCCCCCTCCACTTTCAACCACGAATCGACGCCCTTGATCCCATTACTACACTGTCTACATTTAACAATAACATATTTATTTTCTCCTCTGAATATTTTGGAAAAACCATTTGCTTTTCAGGTGTTTGAATTCTTGTATTTACTGTTTATTGGCTACTTTTTTTCTCTCTTAATGGTAAGTCTTGTTCAGTTACTTTTCCTGCCTTTTCTTCGTGCCTTGTGCCTTTTGGTAGAGTTGAATCCACTAAAAACAGTTTAATTTCTAGACTCCCTAAGTTTTATAATACAATTTCCTCTAAAGACACCTCTATTGATCCTTTTTCTGACAAGTTCTGTTTTTAACAATCAAATTTGTAAGGTTATCCACAATATTTCTCAGGTTTTTTGGCCCTTGGCTTCTTGTTTTTTACTGTTTTATTGCTTTTTTTGTCTGTTTTTTCTTATGATGCTTCTCTTTTTTTATATCCATATTTATACATATATTTTATTGTTAATCCATTCTGTAAGTGGTGGGTTACCCGCTGTTAGGAGTGATTTGAAATAAAATAAAAAAACAAAATTTTTATTTTTTTCGCCTTCCTCTGACGATCTTTAAAAGAAGTTCACGAAATAGAGACATGTTCATTGCTTTTTACATTATCTGGTTTTTCCCGGGCGACCATATAACTCTGTTTGTAATATTTTCCATGTATCTGATTGATGTAATTTTGATTATACTAAACTGCTAAGATCTCCTTTTTTTTATTATAAAATATGAGGCTTCCCCAAACCAGTGTACTGTCGCTTGTTAAACTGAATAATTAGCTTAAGAATGTGGAAGTATTGTATATTTTAGTACAGAGAAGCAGTAATACATTTAATAGTAACTTGGGCAATAAGTAAATCGAATCCAATAAAATGAGCTTTCATTTTAAAGCTTAGGCCTAAAATGTGGAGAATTTTGGCATGGCAAGCCCCATATGTCCAATTTTGTGCTTGATGAGGTATGACGGAGGAAGGTCCTGTGCCGTTACACCCCTGAAATATAAAAAAACATGCACTTACAGCGAGTTCTTGTGTATTGTAACCACACTGTGTGTTAATAATGTCCTCATCAGTCTGGATACAACATGAATATGGAACGCCACACCTCTCACGACTTGGGTTGTCAGGTGTACAGTTGAAGTACTTGTTTTTGGTCCAGTCTTGGTATGATTTCTCTCCTCCACAACATTCAAACTACAGAGTTTAGAGGCATTATACTTCAATCAATCAATTAATTACCATTTATTGTCATTTTTACACTACTTCAGCTCTGTTTACAATGTACAGAGAAACATAAATAGAACAAAAAGCAATGAGAAAACATTAAAAGTAGTGTGATATATTAAAAATAATAATATAATTATTATAATTATATTAATTATAATTATAATTATATTATTATAATAATAATTAAATCATAATTATAGTAGATTGATGATGATAAATTTCAATAAAATCTTGTTATATTTTCAAAAAATAAGTAATCTTCTATATCTTGCATGATGATAATAATGATAATACCTATAATGATAAATAATAAATGCTTATAAAAAATAACAATGACAATTGTAAGTTTCAATATGTTATATTTTTTACAAGTAATCTCGCATCTTGCTTGAAGATAATGATAATAATATATCAAATTTCATTGGTGTAAAGCCAAAAAAAAAAAAAAAGTCATTTGATGATAATAATAATAATAATAATAATTAATAATAATAATAATAAATGATAAATACTAATATTAATAAATATTAAAATAACAATGTTATGGTGATGATGATGATAAAATGATGATATAAATGATAATGTGAGAGTATATATATATAATATGTTATATTTTTTACAAGTAATCTCGCATCTTGCTTGAAGATAATGATAATAATATATCAAATTTCATTGGTGTAAAGCCAAAAAAAAAAAAAAGTCATTTGATGATAATAATAATAATAATAATTAATAATAATAATAATAAATGATAAATACTAATATTAATAAATATTAAAATAACAATGTTATGGTGATGATGATGATAAAAATGATAATGTGAGAGTATATCCTTGCTGGGAATTTTGACCAATTGTGTTAGCAATACATAAACTTAGTCTCATTAAGAGCCTTATGCAGTGGAGTGGTTTTTCGGTGTCAGATGAAAAGGAATTTGTGGTTCTACCTCCATGAGTATATTATAGATGTAAAGGTATTCAACCTGTACATGTCTGGAGTGCCCATCCATCTTTCTTAAGCATTGGGACTAGACTGTGCAATGTTTTGAGGGGATCACCACTCCTCACAATGAGTCTGTTTACCTTCCCAACACATGCCAGTACCCTTCATGGGTAGAGAGAGACAAATGCATTATAAAGTGTCTTGCTTAAGCAAGAGTTTTGAGACCTGACCACAAGGTCGAGAAACTGAGCCACAACTGCTGTGCCAAACGCTTCCACTATATATATCTGATTAATGAGGGTGGAAAAACTAAGTTTACAATGACATTTAAACGAGCAGATGATGATGCATGACAGCCAATACTTGACAGGAAGTGGAGATGGTCATATGCCTACCAAAGACCTGGAAACTGATGTGCTGCATCTTGTTGTATACACAGGTAAATACAAGATCTCTTCTCATCAGTGTCTTGCAGAGCCTGAGAATAACAATCTACAGTATAGGCATGGCCAGATGAGTCAGAAGTAAGGTCTGAAGAAGGAGTCTACTTGTGATATGCCCTAGGAAGTGCTGCAATCACACACACACACACACACACGCTGTATTAATTTACTTTAAAGTAACTTCAGATGATTTACTTTAAGGGGTCTCGCACATGTAGTGCACTACTTCACATACACAAGGAATGTAAGGAAAGCACGTTCAAAATTAGAGACTTCATTCTGGATAGTGCAACCAACGAGTAAGTTAATTTAGAGATGCAACAAGGGACTTATGAAATGCTGAATGCAGTACCTGGATGCCAAAACAATGACATAATCTTATACAGTTAAACTCAAATATTTTCTAAGTCAATCTTATTTTACATGCCAAATTGTTGTTTCCCATTAATAATTAATGATCTGCAAGTCAAATTTTATCGAAGTCAAACAATTTTTCTATGCCATTTTAGATTCGACAAGTGCAACTGTATTCCATATTTCTGTAAATCACAATGCTCACGTTTTCAGGATCACAAACATGTATAGAAACAAACTTTGAAATGTGTAACTCACTGTGCGTTGTGAAAAGTCTATGAAGTTTGTAAGATCCTCGTAGCCAGACTGTCTGTATCTCATTATCGCAGTTTCTACAATATCATTGGCTTCTTGTTCAAACTGCAAAAGAGAAATGGATTTTAATAAGTCTTTCCAAAATGTTTACTATTTTCCATGTTCTTTTCCTTCTTTTTTATTGCCACTTGAAGCTGCTTCCACTTTAATTTACTTTAATGCAACTGAATTTTTCCATATTTTTAGTTTCTTCTTACATGTTGTTTGTAAAAAGTAAGGTAACTTCTTGCACCCAGTGTTTGTCTACCTCAATTGGTATTGGTAGAAAATGTTGCCAACTGGTAAATTTGGTAACTATACTAGGGGTTTTTTTTTAAATGTGTGACAGAAAAAATGAAATTAGGAATCAATGATGTGATGTGTTTAAGTTTGCACCCTATATGTTTTAAAACGCCGATATTACGCCACAATATAGGACCCTTTCAGACAGAAAAGCGTTAGGTTACCGCATTATTGCGGCAACAAAGACGCTGTGTTATTATGCCGGCATGCTTACTGCAATATTGCAGCAGTATCTATCGGGAAGGGACTTTAAGTTACAAGCTTATTAAAAGTGACTTAAAGGTGGACAATAATAATAACATTTTCAAATCTTGCATATCTGTAGCCTTACCTCATCTGAGTAAATAAATACTAATACTCCTGCCATAACTTCCAAAACAAATAGAAGGAGCAAAAGCAAGTAGAACTGCAATTAAAATTAGTAGGAAATATTATTTAAAATTACATGCTATTAATAATCATAAGGATAGAAATAGTTTTTAAAATAAAAAACTTTTCATTAAAACAAAACAGCATAAAAAGGAAGTTAATCAACAATACATTTTCAATCAAAAAATTTGCAGATTTTCTATCTATTGTCTAAAACTATGTTCAAAATTTAAAACAAAAACAAAAACAAAAAAAACAAGCAATTAAATAAATATAATTATGAGAGTGTTAGAGACAATAGGGCAGAAATAATTTATTTTGACATATTCTTTGATTTTAAAGAAGCAAATGCGACAGTCTCCTACTCATTATGCTTCCCTGCCTACCCAACTCTTAAAATACCAGCCAGTCCATCCAAATCCCACCCCAATTTAGCCATTTCTTACTTTTGACTGTGTAAGTCTATGTTAAATGTCAAGTAATAGCAGTAACAAATTACATGGCATAGAATCTAAGCCTATGTTGGTCTGATCTGAATAGTTTATTTATTGGTTATACATATTATTACTTGTTGCAGCATTTCGCTAAAATTAATATTTTTACTGTGCGCAATGTTTGTTTAAGATTTGTGTACGTTTGTATTGGTTTATGAAAGTAGAGTTGGGAAGGAATGCCCTTTGGTGATTGTAGTTTTTAACTGCTTTTGTCTCCCCACAGATCTCTTCTTTCATTTTGTATTTTTTAAATGTTTGTACAGCTTAAACAAATACAATCAAATAATGTGAAGATCAACAGCTGTTAAGAAATAACGATTTTATAAATTTGCAGATGATGGTGTCATATTTGTTTGTGACTTGACCTTTGACATGCACAAGTTGAGACTACAGGAAAGTGCTTCTCCACCTACTAATTATTTTCACCCTACATCCACTCAACCCAACCTTTGAACTTTTTTTTTTAAAGAATCTACACTCCCTTAACAGAGACATCAAAAGGATGCTGTAGGCCTATAGTGAGATTTCATCTGATTGCTAACATCCTGTTGATAAACTGATATTGTAAAGAGCTCATGTTAATTGCTTCTTCCTGATACTCACCGACACAATAATGAAACAATGTTTCAACTTTTATTTTCAACTAATTCAGTTCGATTTGAATATTGATATTCTAAAACTTATTGTATAGGGCTAAACATTTTTAAAAATAATTGTCCATCATAGTTTTATATTCTTGATTTTAACTCTTTGTGTATTTTTTTAACAATCTTATTTATCTTATTTTTTTAAACTCTTATTTTGTAATGACTGTATTTTTATATGCAACTCCATTTTATATACTATATAAACATATACTTTTGTTGCCGTTGGATTTTTTGAGCAAAAATTAAAAATAATTAACTTTTTTCAACGTAAACCTCAGAACAAACACATTAAAATAGGTCAAATGTCCAATAGCAACCTGCATTTGCTATATTTTACCTGTATTTTATGTATATTTAGATGTATTCCTAGCTATTACGTTAAATGTTTTATGAACAAATGAAGTAAAATAAATTAAGTGAGCAGAAGATGATGAAATTTTCCTTGAATCAACTGCTAACTAGGCGAAAGTAACCTATATTTGTGTTAGAGTTAGCCGAAAGTACCAAAAGTAACTGAAGGTAGCGCTACAAGCCTTCTCTATATAACTTATCATTCTATTCCCCAGTTTTTCGTCAAACAACTTTTTTCTGTCTTAGAAAAATCAGTTCTACAACATATCAAAAATTATTTTTCCTCCGGAGTCTGACTTTAAGCCTTATGTATTACAATATGCCGGCAATGGATTCTTGCGTATGGCCTTACTCGTCCATTCTCTGACAAATGTGCCGAAGACAAGTCAAACCAGTCACTCCTCGTAAATCGTGTTTCTGAGATGGCAAAAACATGTTTGAATGTTAAAATTTTCAAAAAACTATTTCATTACACGAAACTTTATATATCTGTACATCATGCTACTAGTATATTGTTTTCCTCATTTTCTTATGTAATGTTGTTTTTCCTCATTTTTTTTTTAATGATTTGGTGACTGTCTCTGCCTGAGAAATGTCCAAAATCGTAAACCTCTTGAATTCTCTTAAATATTACAGTAGATATGCTACCGAGAGTCAAGCCATTGTTTGATGCTTAGCTCTCCATCCCACACTGATCTAGGCTGGCCTCTATTATCATCATCATCATTATTTAATTGGCATGCATTTACATGATGCGACAATGCTTGTAGCAATTATGGCGTGCAGAATTTACATTACATGCTCTTTTCAGAATCCCTACCTTTCCTTTAAGGGCAAAAGCCATTATTCCACCAATCAACTCTACTAAGAAAAGTATTGCTATGGAAATGTAGAACTATGCACAAAAAAAAAAAATAAACAAATAAATGACACCATTTATTTAGTGACAAAACCATTGACATTTACTATAACAATGAGAATTAATAGAAAAAAAATGCCCCCAGTGGGAGCATGTGTGTACTGCTTGAACTGTTAATTTTGGGTACTTTTTTGGGTTAATTTCTATCTTTAGCATATGATGCAATGGTATCCCATAATTCCTCTCTCTGAACTTTGAACACTCAAACCGGATTAACTTTCACAGCTTACAAGTGAGATGATAACTAAGCTAATACCCCATTCAGACTAGCATCGCATTGCAATCGGTTGTAGCAATTGCGACACCCAATCGCAAAGTAAATCGTGTGTGAAAGCTCACCAATAGTAGTCGATATGTAATCGATATCGCAATTGTTACCCATTGCGATTGGGTGCTACAATCTTTATTACTCCTGATTACCACGGAATCTGATCGCAAAGAATCACAACGAATTCCACAGGCACTCTTTGGCTGAGGTCAGTCAACATAGGCCTAGCCACCGGAGGCCTGGCCCTGGAATGTAAAGTTTGGGTTGGTCTAAATGCGTTCGTTGATTGCGATCGGGAGTAATCAGTTTTGGATTACCCCCGATTACATCGCAACCAATCGCAACAGAGTGTAGTCTGAATAGGGTCTTATATCCTTGTAAACTAAAGTGTTAACAGTTCACGTGGGGGCAGTAGACACAAAAACTGTAAACTACAATAACTGCATGGTGACAGATATTTGAATGTTTTATATTATTTGAGTTCAGGATTATTTATTTTCTTATTTATATCCCAATGGAAAAACAATAATCCAGTCAAATATAATTTCTTCCTTATTTTTTTCAATTCTGCAACATATTTTACCATCTTTTCAAATATAGGCCTATTTATAATAATAAGCCTATAAAAAAAAATTGTCTTTTAATTTTATTGCATGTACTTTAATTTAATGTATTTTTACTGGTTAGTGGTTTAGGAACAATTCACTTACTGTAGGTGTCGGGATTATAGCTCATCATTCTCTCTTGAAACGTTTCAATGTATCTGTCTGACATTATTGTTAAAGTATTGAATACATAATAAATGCATACTGTAGGATCTATTTGTTGCTTTTACTGTAGCTTTCACTGTTAACAAGAGCTTCATTCAGTTTACTGAATGACTGTCATTATGATGTTTTTGAAGCTAGGGTATGTACAGTAAGGGAGGTAAGAGCAGGTATTAGCTATTGAAAAGGCAACTCAAATTACTATACACATTATGTGCAGTTTTCATAGTGTTAATATACAGGATGAATACACTAACTCTAATGCAGTAATATTATTTAACAATTTTTAATGTAAAGCATTTAATGACATAAAGAATTCAATTAATTGACTGCAGATCAGTTGTAAAAATGAATACTGTATTAAGACAATATGCAAAACAGTGGTAAAAGGATATGCTAAGATTGTATTGCGTATACTTTAGGTAGTCCTTGCCGAGTTTTAACTTTGCCCAAAGAAATCCTAACTCCCCAATGTAACTGCCTACCTCCAAATTATGCACTATCTATTATTATATTTTTATTTTAAATTTAATGCTAAAAATTAACTTATGGACATTGTATTGTATAGTCAGATGGTAAGTGTGTAAAACGAGACGTTCATGACTCTTTGACAGGAGCTAATACTTACAATGGTGAGAAGCACACAATTCTCCCGGATCGCACCAATGCAACCTGAGAAACCAAGAATAAAAGCGACCACTCCGACAACAATAAGAACAATAGCAGGATCTGTGAAGAAATCCACGTGAGAGTTGATGCTTGTTTCGCTCTCTCGTTCTACAAGTGCCCAAATACCAATGGCCAGTAAAGCAATGCCGAATATCTGGAAAAAAAATGTACCATGTCTTCACTAAATAAATTGTAAACTAGTAAAAATAACACAAAATTACATAACAAGATGGTTAGTTATTTCTCAGCTCCATTGTCGGATGGAATAAAATCATAAAGGCATAAAAACGAGGAGAAATTCACCGGATACAAGAGTGGAACTCTTTACAAACTACATTCTATAAAACTGTTCTGTATCCAGTGAAAAAAGAAATAGCTAACACTTACTGAGTGATACTAATGGTCCGGTATCCAATTAGGCATTAAAAAAACCAATCAAGCGTGAGAGTATAACAATGCCAAGCAGAACTGTTCCTTTTCCGCCACTGAAAACTCACAATTATTATTAAAACACATAAATTACTGTAGCTACCATTAGTCCCTACTCATAAGACAAAAAGAAAGAGAATGACACTTCTAACTTCTAACCTACTAATTGTTTCGCTTTATATTACTACATATACTGTAATTCTTAAAAGGAGATATTTTCGAGTCAAGGAAAATTCCTGTACTGTCTGTCACAGAATTTGAACCTAGGACATTGGGCCCAGTTTTATAATAACACCAAGCTATTGTTTGTAAGCTGTTTTGTTTAGTTTTAAAGGAGTGATTGATTTTTAAAGTATTACGGCATATTTTATTTATTGTATTGTCTTTGTGGATTCGTTGAACAGTTTAAGTCTGTGGATTGTATAGTTTTATTGTGAACGCACCGCATAGAATCTGCCACTAATAAAGTATTTATTATTATAATATTAAGTAATCCAATATTATTAAAACTGGATGCTTTCTCTACAGAAAAATAACTTGTGATGCATACTCTAAGAATTGGATTTATTCAGTGTAAACACCAAGGATAGTCTAGAAGACGACTTATTTTCAGTGGGGTCCTTTTGGTGCTGATTGGGCAGTACACCGGGAGACAATACCCTACTCTTTTCCAAAGAGTATACAGTACAGTACTTTGTTCTTTAATGTGCACATGGGCTCCCGGGGGGCTCACTCTTAATTATTTCTATACGGGTAGGTGCCGCATTTACAGGGGTATTTTTCAGGACTTGGTAGCACAAGTGTGGGAAATACCAGGTAAAATTGGTAGCCCTGCCCCTTCCTGTATCATCAAAGCAGTATAATTTTTCACACGATTTTAGCGAAGTTTTTTGCTAAAAACTCCATGTCATACCTACAGTAGAGATCGCGAACGGGCATAATTGCGGTCGCCATCGGGAACCAGAACAATTTTAATTTGTTAGGTTACATGGTCGCAATACTGTAGTAGTTCAACCGATACTGAATTTTGGTAAATGGTAGTTCAAGTACCTAATAATTTTCAGTAGAATAGGTAGCGCAAGTGTCTCATGTCTTGGATTGGCTGCTGCACACCCCCGTAAGGTTGGTATGCAAGTGAACCCCCCCCGGGCATGGGCCATAAATGCACACAGGACCAAAGGCTTACATCTCATCCGAAAGACTGCACTATTGTAACTAGCTGAAACCAGGAGAGGTAGCGTTGGGAATTGAACCGTTGAGCTAGAGATCTCCATGGTTTAGCGCACACACAGTGGCTCCCACCAGATTAGCCGACAGAGCTACAGACTGCTCTCAAAAACTAACTCTGTAGGTATTACTACTATTATAGGTTTCTAGCCCAAGTATCCCATTATCAGCTACATTTATTTATGGAAGTATATATTATGCCGACGCCGGAAAATATGCCAAAATATGTATTTCTCTGATTGGCTATTGTAAAGTATGACGTCATCAAATTTTTGGTAGCAATTTGTATGTTTTGCAGATCGTCTATAGGTGTTTGTTCATAATAATGCACTGCATGTTTTTCGGGATATGACCGGTTGAGCCGCCGACAAGTTGAGCCGCCGGTAATTTCTATGGAACGCCAAGCGCGTCTCTCAGTGAATGTAGTCGGCTTGCCGATGTCATCAGTGAATGAACCCCCCGATACCAGCTACATATTCATCCCACAGTCTTGTCAGTCGTTGATTTGCTCGTATTGCCGTTCGTGATGTATAATTGTGTAATTGAAAATTAGAATTTCAATATATTTATGTACTACATTTTTATAAAAATATATGAAGTTGTATAATTGCAAAATCATATTAAAAATATAATTTTATGTACATTTTTATACAAATAAATGAAGTTGTATAATTGCAAAATCGTATTAAAAATGTGTTTATTCACGTTTGGCTTGCGGCGTATTTCAATTAACTTATTCGTTATTTGTACTATTTTGTTAAATTATTTAATTAAATTATTTATTATATATAAGTTTAACAAATAGTACAAAAATAAAAATACTGTATATAAATTATAAAACCATAGTAAATACTGTATAATAAAATAGGCCTAACACATTTAAATTTATTGTTTATTATTCATGCAAAATCGTATTAAAAATGTAATAACTTGATTATTTTTTACGTTTGGTTTGCGGCGTATTTCAATTAACTTATTCGTTATTTGTACTATTTTGTTAAATTATTTAATTAAATTATATTTATTATATACCATTATATATAATAAATGATAAGAATGTATGGAGTTTTTTTTTACTATCTGGCAAGCCGACTAAATTAGACAGATGACTCTAAACAATAAATTTAAATGTGTTAGGCCTATATTAATATATACTATTTACTATGGTTTTGTAATTTATATACTTTTTATTTTTGTACTATTTGTTAAATTTATATATAATAAATGATAAGTATGTGTAGAGTTTTTTTTTTACTATCTGGCAAGCTGACGGAGCAAATACTCACAAAATTTAAATTAAAACGATAGAAAGAACAAGTAAATAAATTGAAATACATCCCAAAAATATTTAATAAATCAGTGCAAAAACCGAGTATTTTAAATAAATTTAAATAATTGAGTAAATAAACTGAAATACATCCCAAACAACAGTACAGTACCAAGAACGAATAAGTTAATTGAAATACGCCGCAATTAACGCACTACATTCACTGAGAGACGCGCTTGGCGTTCCATAGAAATGACCGGCGGCTCAACTTGTCGGCGGCTCAACCGGTCATAATCCATGTTTTTCTTAGTCAGAGAGATCATCTTATACTAAAACACTATTGTATTTATTAATACCATGATAGCCTTGTTCCCTTTGTATTGTATTGAATAAAAATTTATATAAGACACCAGTGATTTGCTGGTTTGTTGTATTTTTAGACAGTTACCTAGTATTATTATTTGAATAACATTTCAAAGTAGGCCTACACTTTAAAAAATAAATATATAAAGTAGGCCTACTGAACAAATATAAAACAAAATTAAATAGATGAAAAAAGGAATGCAAATATAGAGGGGCAATTAATCTCTGATAAGAGCAGCAAAGTAAATTATTAGTTACATTTTATATTGTTTTAATCAATTATTTTCTCTTTATTGGCTTTCTACTTTTTATTTTCCCTTTAATAATAATATTAATAATAGTAGTAAAATACTCATCAGTTTTTTTCTTTTTTTTTAAAAACTTTTTGTGTCCTTTATTAATTCTCTAGGTTTAATTTGTCAATGTTAAAGATCTACTTATTTTTTTTATATTCTGAGTGATGCGGGGTATACCTGGCTTTGTCTTACAATACAATGCTAGGCCTGGTAGGCCTACTAGGCTAGACCACCGCCGCTCAGGTGTACTATGGCTTATCGTATAAAACACCCCTCCCTAGCCTAATCCCAGCCTGAGCCTAGCTAGCTTCTTAGGCTAATGCCATCAAGCGATGAGTCATTCTGAAAAGCCATGAAGGTTATGTTATCTGATATCGAACATCTACAAACAACAGCGAACAGCGATAAAATATTGTAGCTTACCCAAAACAAGAAATTAAAGACAAATAAAAGGTATTTAACAACAGGTCTGGTATCTTGATTGGCCATGATGACGTCGAAATAGTCGGACTTCGATCAAAACACAACAGCGACGATGACAGATGACAAGAAGACAACTCCACCCTTATAGAATTATGGGACGCCACCAGTGCCTTTAGTACAGCTGTCCAGTAAAATACAGGTACTGTAACAGTGGCTAATACTGTATTAAAATTGCATTATCAGTTTTACCAACCGTCAATATCGATATAGGCCTACTTTTCTTTTATTTTTGCCATTCTCATCAAGACCAGAAAAATGTTTCAACCGATTATTGAGGCCTATTTGAGTGGACCCTTGCAGGATCAAATCTGAAGTAGGCCTACAAGGCCCACTTAAAACTACACAAATATACTATCTAATAAAATAATAAAATATATTTTAAATAAGCATTATATTAAGAAACAACTTTTTCAAGCATAGACAAAAAATAGGCTCCCAGCGGGAGCGTGTTTCTACCGCCTTATGCAGGAGTTTTTGTTTTTTTTAATTTTATCTTATGTTCTTCAATATCCAGATGTGTGTATTATTGTAGTGTATCTGGATTTTTCATGAAAATTTTCTTTCATAATATTCTGTATAGGCCTACTACTATATTATACTAATAACATTTTGTCAAGAATGTTATTAATTTGCCTAGTAAGCTTATCAACAAACTGTTTAAATGATGGAATCCTTTTCTAAACAATTTTATAGGAGCATCTGGGGATTCATTTTCTCGTTCACTCTTTAGACCTTATTACATAAGCGTTCTTTTAGAGACCAATTTGTACACCATGATCTATTTAAAAACAAACAGGCACCACTCCTTTTGTTTTACCGGATTCTACCGTTCAATCTCCTCGTATTCAATCAAAGTTCTCAATACTAACTGCTTTATATGGAATTTTTTCGTTCGGGCGTGTTTCAGACAGGCAAATTACATTCGCTTCACGGTGTTCATATTTCGCTTCACTGTATTCATACAAAATACCAAGTGCATTCTCGTAATTCCACCATTTTGTTTTGGAGTGACCTAACATTCGATATAACAATGCTTGGTACTGGTATAATTTGTATTTCATTTTTCTTGATTTAACCCTCTTTCCACCACGTCTGAGTTTAATTTAATTGGGAAGGTTTCTCATATCAATTTGTTTAGGCTGTTTTGACCACGTAACAATACAATGTTAATACTGCGCGCGTGTACGAAAGGCAAAAATGAACAGATTGAGCGAAATGTTTGGACGATTTCATTATCCGAACCGAAAAGGATATATAAAAATGCATTCATTAAACGATCAATTACTTGTGAACACTATTTAAAAAAATTCCCCAATCTATTCATAACACTGCAAAAATAAGATAAATCCAATATCAAGCGTATTCATTATGGAATAATTTTAACAAGTCTTTGATAAAGCAGGTACCATATTTTCATCAGTTCACAAAATGGAACGCGCCCGGATCCCTGGGCCGGCTGTGAGCTCGGTCAGTTTTTCGTTTTGAAAGCATTTGAAAAATGAAAAAATGACGGAAGAAAATTTTATCCAATTAGATTATTTTTAATATATTACTGATCGCAAGCAAATCACATTTCTGTTGCCGCTTCAACATAAGCAAATGGATTGGTATAGGCAAAGTTATGACGTTGTAAATAAACGACTCCTCACAAACCGGCTCAAATTCCCCTGAAAACACGCTAATATCGCTTATATTTTCGTAATTCAACCTAAAAATGATGGAGCTAAATATTTGAAAACAAATATTTTGTAAACTATTTGCAATAGCTATATTTATAACCTTCCATAAACAATTACTGTTAACCTTTATCCGACCTTTAGTTTTTGAGTTTTTTTTTTAGTAAAATCAGTCGATATTTTTGAAGAAACGCTATAGTTAAGAGATTTTCACGGCGGTGCGTTTGTAGTTAAATGGACCAAAGAAATTGATATGATAGCCTATAGGCTTACCGATTTGCTTTGGCATACTTCGAGCAGTACTGTGCGGCATTGCGAGTACCTAGTTAACATTATCCAAATTTAACAGCCTTTGGCTGTTAAATTTTTCTATTAAAAATTGAATTTTGTTTATAAAATTAATTTAAAAAAAATAGAACGAATAAAAAATTAATTAAAAACAAGTAAAAAAAAATCACTTAAACTAATGCAAGATCAATTCTAAAATCTTGTGCTAAATGCACCCTATCCCCTTAAAGTGTTGAAATAAATAAATAAATAAATAAAAGTGTAAACAACCTAGTACAGAATGCAGTAGCCAGGACTTTCAAACTGTGTGGGACCAGGACTTTCAAACTGTGTGGGACAATATCAGGATGGATCCACTTTAAGTTCAAATAATGTGGACCCATTTTCTTAACAGTTGTCCCATTTTACGCAAGAATATGAATAATCTGGACCATTTTCTTAAAAATTGACCCATTCTACACAAAATATGAGAAATCTGGACCCATTTTCTTAAAATGTGACCCATTTTACACAAAGTATGAGAAATCTGGACACTTTTTTAAATTGTGGACCCCATTCTTTGTGGACCCAACAGAATAATTGTGTGGGACTGTGCCAACAGTACTGTCCCATTAGCGGCATTGAACGTTCAGTATATCCTAGTACTAGACGAACTTGCCAAGTAGTAATCGCTTTCCCTTAGACTTTCCTTTTCCTCTCTCCAAGTCCCTGGAAGATCCTACGTTTTACCTTTACACGAGCCGTATTTGTTTGAATTTAAACAATTTTAGTTGCCAGTAGTACCGTATTATACACTTATTAAGTAGATATCGTTTCCGTTTTCCAGTATTTCAAAAAAAATTCTTTTCTACTTTCAAAGCTGCTTGAATTTAAATTAATATACCGTTCCTGCCGTTGTTTTTCTTTTGGTGCCATATTCATTTGCTGTTTCTCAGTGCTTGGTGGTAATTTTTGACTTTTTTATTAGATGTGTCAAATTTCAGCTTTTAAGTGTGTTCGTATGATTTTAACTTTAAGTTCGCAACTATGCAACCAACTTCAATAAAGACATGTTTTTCCAAAACATTTGTTAAACTAATAATATTAAATATTAATAGTAATACAGTAGTAAATTATGTGCCTTTCAATAAGGCTATAAGAATCAACGCACACATCCTCCATGTGATTGATTCTTGATTAACCATTTATTGTGATATAAATCAAAATACAAAACTCAACAGTCTACGTTGATAAATATATATAAAATTGATATAAAATTAGCTCTCATTCTGACTGTAGCCATGGAGAACGGTTCTCGAAGGTCTGGATCCGCGCGTGGTGAGAGTGCCTCGTCGCACTGCTTTTATGAACGTGTCGGCCGCTCGTAGGCGTGGTCGGGCGTCGACACATTAAGGGTTTTAAAGGCTTATTTAAAGATTTTAGAGTCTACCTATATGTAGACCCCTCCCCCCCCCCCCCCCATCCCCCGTTACTCACTCTTTAGTTTACGGGATTACCGTTTGTAGGCCTAATCGTAGGCCTATATACAATGTTGTACCATTAAATTGCAAAAATTAATACGATGTCTATATGCCTATTAAGCTTTTATTCGTACCCTTTGCAAGTTTTATATGTTCTATACATATATATATATATATATATAATAAAATTTATATACAGTTTTGTTAAATATACAATAAAGCTTGACGTATCTACATTTAATTATAAATGTATATATTCTACACAATATATTCTACATAGATTACTATTGTCATGATTTTTTTTTAATTGCGTGGAATAAGGTCATTAATAGAACGCCCTCTTTCAAGTCTTTTTTCCATTGAAATAAGAAGTTCTACGCCATCAATTACACGCTGAACCAATTGCACCTGAAACGAAAAGTTAAAAAAGCATGACGCTCAAATACAACATCAAATACGTGGCTCTACATTAAAGTTAATTTTAACTCACATAAAATGTAGCAATAATAATGTTACACGAGTTTTACACGAATGTTTTGTATTCACATGCGCTATAAGTGTTACACTTTGTTACATCACATTGTATCATTTGTCAGATTAGAATAAGGCAACAGAATAGTAAATTGTAAAAAACAATTACTTACCTCTGATTGACCCAGACGATCAAGGTTTGAGATGTCGAATGTATCACCCTCTGTGGAACTGTCAACTCCTCCAGTACCGCGTTTCTGTAGACGAAGGCTAGCCAGAATATCTTCAAATCTTGGGTCCTAGAAAGTAATCGCAATTACATATAATTTCATGTAGGCCTGCTATAGGAGGATAGAGGAAAATGATCGTGAACTTTCACACTATTTACACTGGGCACATCAGAGGCAACTTATGAGATAGGCCTATTTGCCATTCTGTAGGCTAAAGCCGGGCACTCACTCCGCCCGACGGTCGACGGCAGACGCAATTCTACGAAGAACGCAACTAGACGAAGCACGCGCAACTGATCGTTTTAATCACGATCCGTTCAGACGACCACTGACAATCAGCAGACTGGGTTGCGTGGTCTGGCGCTCACAGAAAGCGGAGTTGGATTCGTCGTGCGACGGTCGTACACCAATCTATTTAACTCCACTTCAACTTTGATTAAGAAACGAAGGCACGTCACGAGAGCCATGCTAAAACTGTGTTATCGTCAAAACCAATGAGAACACAACGCAACAACATGCGTGCAACGGATAGTTTTTGACGACGATCCGCACAGATACCGACCAGTTAACTCGAAATGTTAAGTTGAATGCAATTCCACTTAACACTAATTCAATTGCACTTAACACTAATTGATTTAATGTTAAGTTAAATGCATTTCCACACTAATTCAGAGGTATATGATAAAACGGCTTGCCATACTTACGGCGCAGTATGTGTACGTCACAATTTACAGACTTGTCTGCGCCTAATACGAAGTGTGCAAGAGTATGCTGCACAGTATTGACTTTTAAGCGTATCGCACACGTCAATCGATTACACTAACGTTCATTTGCCACAAATTTGACGCTGTAAGCACTCTCATGCGTGACAGGCTTTACTTTGAAATCGCATAAGACGGCACGCGTAACGGATAAAACGAATGAAACGAATCACGACGAGAGACGCACGCAACAAATCGCCTTTAATGACAACCCGTTAAGTCTGCCATTTAAAATCATCAGACGCTGTCGGCATTCGTAGGACCGTCGTACGAATTAGTTGTGACTTGTTACGTTGAAAACTCACCTTATGAAGCTTTGCCAGTTTCACGTGGACGCCAGCACGTAACCCGGTACCAAGGTTCGATGGACATGTTAGAATGTAACCCAAATGTTCATTCCACATAAACTCCCAGCCATTTTCCTGAATCTGCTTTTCAACCTGAAAAGTAAAGTACATCAAGGTATTGATTTAGCTATTAATTTTTTTTTAATGATTTGTGTGTGTCAAGCTAAGGTGACGACTTGAAGTATTTACCTCCTTAAGTCCATCACAGAACCGTTTGAATACGCGTTTCATGTTTCCGCCTTTTTCCATTGAGATAACACGTGTATGATCCTCCTCGTTCACCCACACTAGGAAGTTTTTCTGATCGTTGTGCCTTAAGGAAAATAATTAGGCCTATTACTAATGATCATGAGTGATAATAATAATAATGCTAACACAAACAATGATAATAATACCATTAAAAAACAACAATAACAACAACATATTATTATGATGATGATGGTCGATGATCGATGATGATGATGTTTAAATAATAGGCCTATTTCTCTATAAGCCTGTTGCTTAAAAGTGAAATAGATATTATTATCTACCATATTCCACGTGCATCGGGCCAGTCCCTTGCCATCCCTGCGCAAGTCAGAAGGGGAGACACTGGTTTATCGAATAGGAAGTGGTCGTTGATAAGCTGTTCTTGATCTCTCTCTGACATATTGTTGAGAGGGTAGTAAGTGCCTCGTAGTTCTCCTTTCAACCCGTCTAGTGCTTTTTTGACAACCTGAATAATGATATTAACCAAATATAATTCATCATAATTATAATTTTTTTTATAAATTTTTGTTTTCGTTTTCTTGTTTGTTCCTGGCATGCCCATCACAAGAACTTAATCTTCTCGGGATCTTGCCATCTTCCATTTTAGTTTTGTTCTTTAAATCTCATCTTATTGTATATTTGTGTTTTTATATGGAAGAAAATAAATGTCTTTTGAATTTAAAAAAAAATTGAAATAGCACTGATCATGTTGAGTACTTGAATATTACATTGAAAGGCAACTACAATAAATCAAATCACTCAGTTCATATTTTAGTTGGTGTAATTATTACAATGTTTGCGAAAATGGTACAAAATAATTTTTAATATAAATAAATAGTTGTGAAGGCGATGACAATGATAAACACACGCCCCTCCAAAAATTACTCGCACCCCCCCCCCCCAGTCACAACCCGAAAATCACTTGCAAGTAGTTAAAAATCACCTAAAATCACCTTTGAAGGTTAGCGCCCCTGAACTGATCATCGATCCCCTCCCACTTCACTTTCTCTCCCTCCCCCTCATCATCAGCACTCCCATTTCAAGACTTCTAGATACGCCACTGAACCTCAGCCTCAATTTGTTATCATTTAATTTTCATTTTGAAAGCAATTGCAGACTCGTTGTTCTTAAAATGTGTTCTTTAAAAAAAGTGAATCACAGCATTGTTACGATAGCAATTACGAGCACAGCTGCACCACACTGGCTGCATAGAACCCCCTTGACTCTCTGTCATAGACAAAGCCATCATTTTGTCGGGGAACATTGAACCCCACACTTCCTCGGATGCAGTGGTTCCCGACAGCAGGAATAATATCTGGCAGCCCATGAGAAGTGTTTTCTGCGAGTGAGGAAACGGTCAGCATTTCCTGACAAATAATGCATTTTAAGAACCAACCAAGAATACTTTATTAAATTCATCGATCAAACAAATTTTGCGACTTTGCCTGTTGCTAAAACACCCTAAAATACTGTCATAAGGATAAAATATGTTATACAGTATAATTAAAACATTACATCACAATCAGGGGTTGAGCAAGACCTTTGGTACGTTGTCGAGATATACGTATACTCATTCATCCAGTATCATTCATGTGTTTTTCCCACGGGACTTATAAATAAAGCTGATCGTTTATCGATGAAAGATCGTAATTATTGTTTCAAATTCTTCCACCACCCCACCCCCCATTTTTCAAAATTTAACATAAAATGAAAAAAAAGGAGAAAATTCTACTCAAATTTAAAGTCAAGAGTGCCATTTCTGGCCATCCAGAGGTGCCATAATCATAACCTCAGCCCCAACCATGGTGGAGCTGAGGTAGATAGACCACCTGTGAAAGTTCTTCTCTGGGCCCCTCTGTTTAAAATCAGGATCCGGCACGTAACTTTGGTAAGTTATGAATCTGTCTCTTATACACATCTAATCTGTCTTCCGATTCAAGAGACAATTAAGTACACAAATATTACAAATGTAAATTGCAATATAGGTGTTTGTCATACAAATTAAATTTAAATATTAAATCAACATTTGAAACTAAACTATGCTAGGCCTATGCCCTAAATCGATTATCAGAATATTTCATGAAATCATTACTTGTTTGTGTAGTAGCACCAGGTTGTTTGTTTGTAGTATGATATGAATAAAATAAAATATTTGAATTCCTTAAAATATGTTGTGTATAATTAATAAATTACACCTTCTCTAAATTCCAAGAGAACTACAGTGTGCTATCGAAAGTGAACTTCAGTGAAGCGGACTACCTAGAGCTAGTAATATTCATGCATGGCTGGGCTAGACAATTAGAGAAGTACGCTGTGGGACCTATTGACGACAGGCTGCCTACCGACCGTACTAGGTAGGCCCTACCGACTGAATGAATGCAAGTCACTAAAAAATGGACAAGAAAACTAATAATAAAAATGACTTTACGAAAACATGGAACGGTTAAACTATGTATGACTCGTAAACTAAAGCCCCAATATCCTATGGATTTAATTACTAGTATTGCAGGAAACTGTCATTACCTACCGAACATTTAAACCATCAGAGAATTTGCCAGTCAAATGTGTCACACACCAAACGCTACCGGTGTCATGGGACTTCAAAGGCATCGCGCAAACGTTCTTTACGCTCTGCGGCAACTTTGATCTTGGTTCATTTGCATAGCGCTGCGTGCGCGTAGCTTTGCCGAGTGATCTCCTTCTCAATAATACCTCCATGTTTAGACTACGTAATAATAATAATAATAATAATAATAATAATAATAATAATTAATAATTAGTAATAATAATAATAATTAGTAATAATAATAATAATAATAATAATAATAATAATAATAATAATAATAAAATAATAATAATAATATTATTTTGATGGTTTGTTGTTTTGCTTGTATCTGTTTAAGTGGTGTTCTATTCTCTCCTACTATTGATTTAATTGTATTTTGAGAATTTGTTCAATTTCTTCTTGATTTTTATTTTAAAATATTCTGGTATATGTATGAATAACTTATCCTTTTCAATGAAATTGTTCTATTGTTTTAAAGTTATTGTAGGCAATTGTAAGCTTACTACTTTACTTCTATGTTCAGGGGGTTTTCTGAATAAATAGAAATTGGAATTATTTAAAATTTAAAAATGAATTTTGAAATTTGAGCAATAAACCAGAATTTTCTCCCCAAATCCTTAGAGTGAATATCGGTAAAGCATACTGCATGTGTGACTTAATTGTAAACCAACTTGTCAACTTTGACCCTTAACCGTTGGAATTTATTTTTCTTTTTATCCCTGCACTTTTATAGGATTCCAATTCATTCATCATGAAACAATATTGGGAACATATAAAACTACTGTTGTTTTAATTACATTTTTGCTGAATTCATATTATGAATGAATTGTATTTGCCTTGAAAATTATTGCTATAAATTCGTAATAATTTACCTAATTATGTCAATTTTAAAAAATTATGAAGAATTGTATGTTACGTAATATGAAAATATGCCAAAAACGCCTATTAAGGGGACAATTCACGCTTTGGTTACCGTAGTGTCCCCTGAATAGAGGTACCCATATTTAGGGGACACCCCTATTAAGGGACACTTTTTTGTGTTCCGAAGGTGTCCCTTTAATAGGGGTTCTACTGTAATTGGAATGATAAAATACTTTGCTCGCCAATAATAAGTTATTTTTTTCTCATCATGACAAAAAAATTAGATGTAATGGAAATAATTTTTGTTGTAAAAGGTAGATAAAATCTGTGCCTTATAGAAAAAAAAAAACTCATCATAAAAATACTTTTGTGTATTTAAACCCTTATCAACAAAATTATGTCCATAAAAAGATGGCTAACAGAAATCCTTTTTGCTCAATATCTCAGAATTACTTTATTATAATGCTTGTGAGTCAGTATTTTAATTATTGTTAGCAATAATTTATAATTATGAAGTATTTTTGTAAGTGCAGGGGCGGATTCAGAAATGTCCAAAAGGGGGGGCCGGAAGGGGGGCCGAAAGTTTGGCCGATTGAGACAACACTGTCGTAGGGGGTCCGGGGGCTTGCCCCCGCGAAATTTTTGTGTTCTAGACGCCCGAACATAACATTTGAGACATTCTGAACTATTATTTTTTTCTTTTTCCCTCTCTTTTTTTTTTTTCTTTTTTTACTTCCCAAAAGGGGGGCCGGGGCCGGGTCGGCCCCCCCTAAATCCGCCCTGAAGTGTTACAACTCTATTATATAATTTTAACTGTATTACTATATAGTAAGTCTTAATTTATATTTTTATTCACTGTGCAATATTACTTATTATTACTTTTTATTTCATTATGTTATATTGTTGATTAATATGGTGCTTGTCTTTATTGTTAAAATTAGAAATAGTACAGTATGCCAGTTTCAAATAACGTTTATGTTGATGAACAATAGAATATGACTATTGATATAGTACTGTCAGTAAAATGCTGTTGCGTCTTAAGAAAGGACTTGGCTTACAAACGATATTGATTGGTAATGGTATTAATCATGCATGGTCTTATCACTTCCTACGGCCAGGTAAATCGCAATACCCGAAATATTATCATAGGATAAAGTGGACAAAGGGGTTTGACTAAAATACATGAATACCCAAAATTCAGATCGATATGCAATTCAATTTTTCCTGATTTTCTGATTATTTACTTTTTTGCTTTGCTTACTTATCAGATCTATTAATCGAGATAAAACAGAAATAATTAATATAGGCCTAGACATTATTTATCGTTTCAGCTTTCGAGTAATGACAAACTTACACGTTCGACTTCTCGTCGCTCCCCACGCGTGCAGGCTGGCGGCAAATTTAAACCACGGATGCTCCGCCCAGTTCGTACACGTGATGATAACACGTACTTAGGATCGAAGTTGCCACCGCGGATCTTTGAGGAATCAAGATCAGTCGTGTGGATATCGTCGGGTCCATATCCATTATGACGTTGGAGGATGATTGGATCAAATAACTCCTTAAACACCTACGGAGTGACATGACGACAGTAATGACATAACATAGCATAAACATAAATTGTATTTCGGTGTAATCACACCAAGGATAACCCAAGAAGTCTGAAGATTTGTTTCGGGATCCTTCTGGTGGTGAATTGGGCAGTACACCGGGAAACAATTCCTTACTCTTTTCCGAGGAGTATACAGTGCTGCGTTATTTAACGTGCACATGGACCAAATTGTACAAGGGACCTACGGCCTAAGTCTCATCGTAACTTGTATTTCAAGCCGTTCAGCTCAAACACAAGGAGAGCGGCGACGGGAATTAAACCAGGGACCTAGATATCTCCACAAGATTAGCCGACTGAGCTAAGCTGCTCAGTCGGCTAAGAGGTGATAAAAGATAATTATGAATGATAATATAGTAACAATATACATACCGGTACCGGTACCTAATAAACAAATGACAATGAAACTCTGTCCAGACTATCAAAATGCCAAAAAATGTGTTATGCCCATATGTGCTACTTATGGTCATGATGTGATGTTATCATTACCATATTTAGGCATACCGTAGGTTTTTGTCAAATAAAATTTGATAGTCGGTACAAGGCTTAAGAATGTTAATGCTATTTATACAGGACAGCGGTTAGGCCCAATAAAAAGAAAAAAAGGTTAGTTTACCACACTTGCCGTATGTCTTCTATTAGTATTGAAAAAAAACCACTTTTTTTTTAATGTTTCAATTTTCGTTTTTTAAATTTATTTTTCATTTTTTTTTAAAGTAAATCTTTTTTTTTAGATCTAATTTAATATACAAATTTAGTTGTGGGGGATGTAGTGCCACCCACATTGGCGAAACCACTTGCCAAGTTTGTATTAGAATCAAGGAACACTTGGCATACGACAAGAACTCACACATATACAAACATCTAAAAACATCTAAACACACATTGCAATTCCAATAGCATACGAAGATTGCTTTAAAATATTAGATCAGGCTAACAGCAGTTAATAACTAAAAATTAAAGAGGCCCTACACATTAAATGGAATGATCCCTCATTGAACAAACAAGTTTAGCATTATAATAATCACCCTTTGTATGTTATAGAAGAGTCTACAAAGGTATGAATAATTATTACCTCTCAATACACCTGCATCACTAGGCGTACGTACACCAATGGGAGCAGTGTATGCTGACGTGGCGTATTTATGAATAATCATTAGTCAAACATGTGTATCGTGAAGCATACGTGTACCGCAAGAGGTCCGCCTGCCTGGGATTCTTTGGAACGCAATCCTATTTCAAAAAGTACTACCCAAAAGGGGCGTGGCCTTTAACAGAACGTAAAGTGCGTTCATATCGAACGCGTGCTGCGCGTCTACAGAATTCGAAACGCAGCACTTTTACGTTCTTATGAAGGACACACCCCTTCGTGGGAGTACTTTTTAACGTTCCATTGCCTGTATACAAAATGAGGGCAGTCGGACCTCTTGCAGTTTTATACTATTTGATATTACTGGCACTATATAATACTGACGTACGTGGCGTATCTGTTAAGGCCTAGACCTACATCTAATTTTGTTCCTTGAGTCTTTAAAATAGGTCTAGAATATTCCTATTAAACGTTCAGTTTGTTTAGTTTATAAATAAGGGTTCATTGATTCAAGGAATTTCTTAATTGTTCATACTTACTATTGAATTTGAAGTAACTTTCTTCGGGTTCTAATTAGCCTTGTTTTACGAAAGTAATTTTCAATTACAATTCAATTTTCATCGCGGCGCGTGATGTATTCGCGGTGGTGACGAAAAAAAATGAGGAATTTTTTTTGCACACGAACCTTAAAAATATCTAGCCGAGCGTCCAATAATAAAAAATAAAATAACATTAGGAGTTCCATTGATGACGTCACAATTGACTTATAATTTTTAGTCAATCGTGACGTCATCACTGTAACTCGCAATGTTATTTGCCTATTCCCCAGCGTCCAATAATTTTTTATTATTGGACGCTCGGCTAGATATTTTTAAGGTTCGTGTGCAAAAAAAATTCCTCATTTTTTTCGTCACCACCGCGAATACATCGCGCACCGCGATAAAAATTGAATTGTAATTGAAAATTGCTTTCGTAAAACAAGTTTAATTAGAACCCGAAGAAAGTTACTTCAAATTCAATATTAAGTATGAACAATTAAGGAATTCATTGAATCAATGGAC